ACTTTATTATCTTTATTTAATAAATATTTTTAATTAATTAAATCCATACCTGATTTCTGAATTTTCAAACTATTTTACCTTACTTTTGAATTGAGGTAAAGAAAATACCTTAGATATGAATTTTTTCCTTTTTTTTTCACATAACACGGGCCATTTTGGCCGGTGTTTGGGCCGGCTCGTGACATAGGTTGACCCGACGGGCTCGAGTTCTGACCAACGCCACGAAATGAGGCTAGCAACGAGCTAATCCGACTCGAGCTTTTCCTGAGTCGAGTCGCCCTAGCCAACGAGCCAAATTGACAACCTTACTTTTAATGCTAATTCATTTTCAAAAAGCTATGGAAAATGGATCCAAAAATGAGTTGGATTTTCCACTATAAGTCCTCGTTTGCCTTGTTTGGACCCCATTAAAATTTTTCTTTCTTAATTTTAATTACATATTCTCCAAATAAAATAATATTACACACGAATATAAAAATTTTCATTATTTTTCAACTGCACATTCTTTCATCAATCACCGTTCCAAAATTCTCTGGGTGCCAAACAATTACTAGTTCTATAACCTTTTGCATTTTAATGGAAGCAGGTGACTGCTCCACACCACTTGGTAAGAGTGTATAATTTTGTAGATCACTTTTAGAGACTAATATATCACCAATACTCTCTTACTTAAAAAGAAATATTATGTATATCTATATTTAGTAATTAAGTTTCTATATTATGTAATCGTACGTCTAAAAATTTTTATCAAAATCTACTAAAAATCTAAGTTTAATCGCTAAATTCTAACCCATAAAAGGCAAATATATTTACCAAAAGCAGGAAGCATAAAAGATACCCAGAAACATCTAATGTCAATTTCGAAATCAAACTCATTCATACAATAGATGTACACTTTAATATATATTCAATGTCTCATCATCATAGTCTATCTAAATTAATTGTGAAGGTAATAAGACAGTTAAGCAGCTACCTGGGCCTTCCTGTAGCAGCAGACGGCCCAGAGCCCATATGATAACCCGACCCAACCTTCCCGGATCCACCACCACCGGCCATCTGATTATACACTCCGGAACCGTACAGGTGTCCTTGATGCCCCATCATACCATAAATCCCTTCATATCCACCCCCACTATTTCCCATATTCACAACACTGCCATTCCCCCCACTATCTCCAATCTCCTTTTCTCCTCTTCCAGTCATCGCAGTCTTCTCCCCTTCCATATCACGAAATCTCTGCAAGTAAATCTTTAATGGCTCGACATAATTCTCGAATCCAAGTGTCGTCATAGCCCAAAGCAAATCGTCGCCGTTGATTGTCTTTCTCTTTTCCCTTTGGCACTTATCCGATGCCTCACCGGTGATGAAGCTGATGAATTCGGATACGCACTCTTGGACTGTTTCTTTAGCGTCCTTTGATATCTTTGCGTTAGCAGGAAGAGCTTTTTTCATGATTCTGCTCACATTTGCGATTGGAAGGAACCTGTCTTGCTCCCTAAGAGAGCTTTCGTTTTGGGAGTTGTGGTGACCTCCTGATTCGTTATCTGAATCCGCCATCGATGAAGAAGTACGAACAAGTATTCGAAGCGAAAAAGAAGTTAAACGGGCTGTGCTTTACTGTTTGATATGCTTTTGACTGTGAACAGTGTCGATAAATTGGTGGTTGAGAATAGAACCAAGCTGAAAATTCAGGAATCAAAACTATTGAATTGAACTCTACAACGAACTGTGTGCTGCTTGGTCATTGACGAATTATCAAGCTAGGAAGTAGGGTTTTTTGCACAAAAAAAAAAATGGAGGGAAAAGGGGAGAAATCGGATCAAGAGTTTGACTTTAAAAAAAAAAAAGAATGGATTTTTCACCAGACTATTCGTTCACTAACAGAAAAATCCAAGAGTTATAGATGAAGCAATCTCATAAACTCAAAAACCAGCTATAAGGGTTTTTGACTAAATTCTATCAATCTAAAGAAAGAATAAAAAAACTAGAAATTGAATACTAATTTTCACCGGAAACTTTAATAAATTAAAATTAACCGAAAATTGCCGGGAACTGGTATGGCGCCGGAATATGCTTCTTCTCCGAAGGAATAATTTTAGAGAGACGAAGCAGGAGTTGGAGTGAAGTCTATTTGGGAGAGAACGCGTGGTCCGTTGGATCAAATACTACAATAACGCGACGCAAGAGACACGTGGAAGATTGTGCACCGTTCTTTGTCGATAACGAAGCTTGCCGAGGGACGAGTTTTCCGCCATTCGATTGGTCTGGAGTGGACCGTCTATTTCGTATCTGGCAAGTGGCTTTATTCATTTTTTAGTACCCAGTTGGACTGTCGTGATGCCCTCCGCATCGGTTTATTATCTTTAATTATTATTGTCATTTATTTCCAAGAGAGTGATATTTCATGGTGGACCTAATATTATGACTTTCATTTTTTTAGGAAAATTATATTAGATTTTACTCCTAAAGTAGAAGAAACGACGTCAACTCGTTAACATACCTCGATGCTAGGTCACAATTGCTTTGATTCCAAGTTCCGTCCTAACACGTGAAAAGTGTGTCAACAATTATGACCAGTAATTATCATCCGAACGAGCAATGACAGATCCAAGATAGGACGTTCGTTGACCATTAGACCATTGATCGTAGACACTCAACGACCGCAATAAAGAGAAAAAAAATCATAGATTACATCACTGATTAAATATCACCAATTTTTAATTTCAATTTTCAACAATAATATATTATTTATCACACAAATTTCTCAATTTATCATTGTTATTTATGACAAATCAAAATTCACAGTCCACATATATCAAATATTCTCAAATTCATAATTCGCAAATTCCTAATTTTCATAAATCATAAAACAAAGCATTCAGCAACAAAATCCCTAATATTCTCGAATTCACAAAAACTAAAATCCTCACAGTCAACACTATAGGCTCACAAACGCAACCATGATTCACAAAATATAAATCAAAAGTGATAAATTAAAAAATGAACTAAACTCTGAAAAAAAAAAAGGAAAGGCAAAGAGCAGACTCACAACGGGCTTGGGAATGTAGTGAGACTTATTCACAGAAAAGCCATAGGAAATGTAAGATATAGAAGTATGATTCTTGACTTGTAAAATGAATATTTTATATAGCAAAAAGCAGAAAATAATGAATTAAATAATTTAATTATAAAAAAAGGTTATGACATACCATGTGGGTGGAAAGAATTGCCGACCGTTCATTTGGATCCTTCACTTTTTCACCAAGCACTTCAATCCATGGAGATGGTGTTGGAAATATTGAATGAAAATATCAGTTACAAATATCTTTTCAATGCTTAACTTATCCCTTTAATGCTTAACTCTTCATTCAAGTAACTCTTCACTCGATGCATTAAGGAGATTGCTCATCTTCTATGTGTATAAATAAAAGAGCTCTCAATAGAGAAAAACACAACAAGAGAAAAAAATACGAGCATTCTTCGAAACTTCTAGCATCAAATTTCTTCTATTTGATTTTGTTCATTTCCTTCATTTGCTAAAGTTCTTTGAGAGATAAATACAGCTAGTTCGTAGGCGGTTAATGTAGTGCAGCGTGAACCGACAATCGATTGTATCCTGGAAATCGAACACTGATCAAACCTCTTACACTCCGGTGAGGCTGCGAATTCGATTTAAGGAAATCGTGTAAACATGGACTTCGGTTTGATTAATCTATTTTGATTCTCCAATATTTTTCCAACAAGTTTAAATCGAATTCCTCATTTTGGAAAAGTTTGAGAATCGATTTTTTTTTTCCAATTTGTTTACTGTCCAATTTCGTTACTGTTTTTTTCCCACCTTCATTTTGTTTGCTGTTTATATAATTTATCTATTTAATTACGCTTAGTAAGTTTATTAGATTTGAATCGGTAAGTTCGAAGAATTTTTTTTTTTTTTTAGTTACAGGAAGTTTCATACACTGTCTGCGTTCTTTAGTTTTGCATGTAGTGGTTTTACATGGTTTTATAATTATTGGTAATGATTATTTGACAATTATTAGTTGTATGATTATTTAATTATTGCACAATGATTAGCATGATTGCCTCATCATTAGGATATAATTGTTTATTCTTTCTTTAATGATTAATTTTAATCATTGTTAATTATTTATAATTTTTTTTTAAAATTATTGTCACATTGCTAATAATTTGCCAAAAATAAATTTGTTCTTCAATTTCGAAATTTTTTTCGATCAGATTATTCAGATTTTGAATTTATATATACAACTTTACAAATTATACTAAATTATTTGTTGCTTGTTCTTTAGTTAAATGGCGTCACACAGAAATGACGACGTGAACAATAGGAGCAACACTGTTGGAACCCCTGTTAACCCTGTGGAGACCTCGACTGGCATTCCTCTAGTTGATGGGATAATTGAAGGCGGGATTCCTCATGTTGGAGTGAACCCCACTTTGCCTACTGCTTCGGCAATCCAATTTGGCACATTACCTTTGCCAGTAACTAGGGCTGCGGCCTCGGTACCTTTGTCATCGTTTCCGGCTCCATTTTCGGTGAATCATGCAATTCGATCGGATAAGTTTACTGGCACTGATTTTAAGACATGGTAGAATAAGATGATTTTTTATCTTACTACTTTGGGCCTTGCACGTTTCCTCACCTAGGATGCCCCTGTCGTGGCTGAAAACGACACTGATATGCATAGGCGTGCGGCTTGGGATGCATGAAAAAATGCTGATTTTTTATGACGCAACTATGTCTTGGATGGACTACAGAATTCTATGTATCACGTGTATGTGGTAAAGAAGTCTGCTAAGGAGTTTTTGGAGTCTTTAGAAAAGAAGTACAAGTTTGAGGATGCTGGGCATAAGAAATTCTTGGCCAGTCGGTGCATGGACTTCGAAATGGTTGATTCACGTTCAGTGGTGAGCCAAGTGCAGGAGTATCGAGTTCTCTTGCAAGAAATGCATGATGAGGGTCTGATCATGTCAGAATCTCTACAGGTGGCTACTGCTATTCACAAACTACCTCCTCAGTGGAAAGCTTTCAAAAGCTATTTGCAGCATAAGAGGAAAGAGATGTCTTTCGAGGATTTAATTATCAAGTTGCGCATTGAGGAGGATAACAAAAAAGCTGAACGTAAGTCAGGGAATTCTTACTCAGAGAAGGCTAATGTATTGGAGCACGGCCAGAGTTCTGGTACCAAGAAAGGTCATTCCTTTAAAGCTAAGCAAGGTAACGGAAATTGGAAAGACAAAAAGCAGACCACGAAAGGGTCTCAGTTGAAGTCTACGGTGGGGTAGGAAAGAAGTCTAAGTTCTAGTTCAAGAGAAAGTGCTTCAATTGTGACAAAGTTGGACATCAATCAGCAGACTGCCGTCTGCCTCGGAGGTATAACAAGCTGCGCCTTCAGGTTAATATGGTTGGAAATGAGCGAGATCATCTCGCAGATGACATGTCTGACCTAAACCTTACGGCGATGGTTAGTAAGATTAACCTGGTGGGGTCTAACCCTAAGGAGTGGTGGCTGGACACTGGAGCCATTTGCTATGTTTGCTTCAACAGGAGCGTGTTCACTATTTTCACACCAGTTACAAATGGTGAAAAGTTGTTTATGGAAAACTCTGCAACTTTTGAAGTGTTTCGTAAAGGCAAGGTGATCCTGAAGATGACCTCTGGCAGAGAGCTTACTCTGACTAATGTGTTGTATGTGCCAAAGATTCGTAAGAATCTGGTCTCTGGGTCTCATTTGAGCAAGAATGGTTTTCGCATGGTCTTTGAGGCGGATAAGCTGGTGATTACCAAAATAGGAGTTTATGTTGGGAAATAATATATGACTGATGACCTGTTTAAATTAAATGCAATTGCCGTAACATCAACTATTATGAATAATGAGAAAACTCGTTCTATTTACTTGCTTGAGTCTAGGATCTGTGGCATGATAGATTAGGTCACGTAAATTACAATGCATTACGTAGACTAAGCAAACTAAACTACTTTCCTAGGTTTCAAATTTATTCAAATCATAAATGTGAAACCTGCGTTGAGGCTATGCTTACTAGATCTTCGTTTCATAATATTGAAAGAAGTACTGAGCCATTGGGCCTAGTTCACAGTGATGTGTGTGACTTGATATTTGTCCAAACAAGAGGCGGAAATAAGTATTTTATTACTTTTTTCGACGATAGTACGAGATATTGTTATGTGTACTTGTTTAAAAGTAAAGACGAAGCTATCAATAAATTCATTCTTTATAAGAATGAAGTTGAAAATCAACTTAGCAAGAAAATAAATGTGTTGCGAAGTGATTGTGGTGGTGAATATGAATCACCATTTGGTGAATTATGTGCTAAACATGGAATAATTCATCAAACTACTGCACCTTATTTATCTCAGCAGAACGGAATTGATGTGCGTAAGAATCAAACGTTAAAAGAAATGATGAATGCTATGTTGATTAGTTCTGGATTAGAAGCTATTTTTTCTGCGAATTACATTTTGAATAAAGTGTTAAGAAATAATATGGATAAGACTCCGTATGAACTTTGGACAGGCC